TTCTCCTTATGTAAAAGAACAGCCAGCCTTGACTACCTATCTATCCTACCCTGGAATAGTATAATCACGGAAAGTTGTCCTTTTAAGGAGGAGGAGGGGGGGGGGTACAAGAACTAGGGGAGGACAGATCCCAAGTTTGAATTACAAAATTGTCATCAATGCATTTAAAAATTTTTGTTTTGTTAAAATTTTGCTTTCTTGCAGAAAGGTTATATTTCAGATTTGATTACAATATTACCCATGAAGAATGACAGATCTAAAATTTTTTTAGTCTTTTTTTTGACATCCCATAGTTCTTTGCAAACGTAAAATTGTTTTTTTTTTGTGTCAAATCATTCAGACAAAAGATAAATGCAAGATTTTTAGGTCGTCATTAAAGTGATATATTTTTTTGGTAACCCTGTATATTAACTATTGTTCTGGGAAAATATTGGTTAAAACCTAAAAGAAAAGAAATGTTACCAAATTATAATTAATATTGAAAAAGAAAATGCGAACAGAGGTTTAAACTTACGTCTTGTTAATCCCGGGATTAAGCACGTATTTTGTACTACAGTCGTATGTATCAAATCAATTAAGAATCTAAAAGTTGTCACAGTTGATATCGAGATTAAGTTTTGTAGATTAGCGATAGTAGACAGAAAAGTTTTGACCTCAGTCAATACAGAAACATCTTTATTTCTTGAATATTTGCAGTTTTATCGAGAACAATGAGAAGAAGATAAACGAGTTAAATGTTGAATCCCAAGGAAGAATTTTCACAATCTTCAAACTTTAAACTTTGAAACCTTAAAAATATTATTATTAATCAACTAATTAAAAAAAATGAAGAGAATTTGAAACTTGAATTTGGAATTTAATTAAAAAATGTTAAGACTTTAGAAACGCCTGGAATTTTTTTTTCGTGCATATTTTGCAGTATTTTTATGTATAAACAAATATTTGTCTAAATTTAATAAATCCAGAACCAAACCCTGATGAAGTAACGACCCCTAACTCTCAAATCATTCCCTGGAAGCTCATTGAATCACGGAGAGATCCGTCAGTGGAAGATCATACAGGAGAAGATCTTTCAAGAGCTGATCCAGCAAAAGATAATGATCTTCCAGCAAAAGATCATAATGAAACAGATCCTGAAGACCCCGATCAACCTTTGGAAGAAGATCCTACTTACGCTGATGACCCTACAGCAGAAGATCCTGCAAATGCTGAAGATCCAGTCGTAGAAGATCCTGAAAATGCTGAAGATCCTTCCGACCAAACTGCAGTTGAAAAAAACCTTGAAAATGATCTAAGATCTGCAGAGATTGGGGCAGCTGCTATTGTCATCACAGAGGCAGGTAAACGTATAAAGGCGGAGGCAAAATATCCGCCTGAAAATACTGCAGCGAATATTGCGATGTTTATGACAATGAAAATTTATCAAGAGCTACCTTCTGATATAGATATTTCTTTTATTAAAAATTAATAGATCATTTCATGCACTAATAAAATAAGATTTTAAAAAACTTAAAACTTTTTTTCTTTATTTTTAAAAGACTGTAGACGAAATTTCAAGTGACCCTCAGTTAATAGAGTGGGTTGTCCTTTGAACAACGGTTTTAATCTTGACAAATAATAACGTTTATATTCTTATTTTTTGATCGAAAAGTTAAAAAATTCCTATTATGGTCACTCTATGAAAATGACTTGTTGATTTTTGCAGAAAAGTCAAAGGAGAAAAAAGTCCATCATTTAACACTTTTAAGGATAGAATCCGACGATTTCTTCCTCGTTCACGCACACCTGACCCTTTAGTAAAAGTAAATTCAACCTGAAGTCTGACCGCGTCAACCTTGTTGCACCTGCTAGTCCTATTGAGTATCTGCTTTATTTACCCAATGTCCGGTCGATACAGTACAAACTGGGACCGGAAAGGTTGATCCGGCTGGGAAATTCAAATGTACAACGGCTGCCCGTGCGTTGTTACTTTGATTAAGGTTTAAAGACCTTTGTTGTGAATCGGACATGACACTCTTTTTTTTAAAATAGGTTTACTTGAAATAAAGTGTGCAGTCCCTTTAGGTTGCTAAAAGTGTATCATCAACTTGACACATTTTATAACTCTAAACTTCAATTTTTTTAAAATCCATCAAATAAAAAGAAACGATTTACTGATTGCAATAAGCACGGGTCAAACAGAAAACAGGATTGGTTTAGAAATAATAATGTTTCCAAATATAATTGTAGACGAGGAGAACATTGATCCGGAGAAGAACCACAATCTTAACTTTGCCACTGTTCACAGAAAACTCAGGAATGCTCCCCGAGTTCAAACTTCTCAGAATGCGGCTCAGAAGAAAATGAAAAATGTTAAGGATATACACCGAGAGCAGACATCCTCAAAATCCACCTATAAACCTAACCCGGAGAAGCAGTACCCGGAAAGAAAGAACGGAAAAGATCTATATCAGGCTGGAGAAGGAGAAGAGGAATTAAGGTTTTTAGCTTAATTTCTCTTTTTAAAAGGATTGTTTACTGTAATTTCATGTGACAATGAGGAAGATCTCGTCGGTCTTATTTCTTGAAATGAGATTAATCCGGTCGATCTCTTCTACTTCGATACACGAGTCATTCCTTTTAAAACACTTCAACCAAAAAATGCTAATTTTAAGATAGAAAAACAAGAAATCTCCGTCAATATTTCTCAAACAAAGGTCTAACAGCGATCGATGTGAATCGGAAATTACGTCAACCTTAAATAAAAAAATTAGAAACAGATTTAGCACCTTAATTCTAAACTTTACGCATACAAAGTATATTTTTTAAAAATGTGGTTTCAGAGCAGCATCACTGACGCAGACTGAAGATAACCCTGTTCACTTTATTCATTCAACTCCGAGAGAGCAGGTTTATACGTTTAAAGGGATTATAGACGTTATTTCAAGTGACCCTCATGACCTTCATTGAAGAGTGACATAACTGATTCAAAACTGATTTTCAACCTTTATCTGAACAATAATGTGAAAGATATCGTCGTTTTTCTAGGTTTTTCGAGCTTTTTCTAGGTTTTTCTAGGGTTTTCTAGGTTTTTCTAGGGTTTTCTAGGTTTTTCTATGTTTTTCTAGTGTTTTCTAGGTTATTCTAGGTTTGTCTAGGGTTTTCTAGCCTCAAATTATCCTTTCATTCTCAATATAAATCCTTTCATTCTCAATATATATCCTTACATTCTCAATATATATTCTCCAAGATTAGAATTAACCTTTAGCATTTTCCGGTCATCTAGGTTCAGTTCATCTCTCAAGGTTCAAGATGAGGGTTGGTATAGTTCTCCTCGTTCTAACCGTCTCTACTCAGGGTTCTATTAAACTTCTGGCAAATATTGCTGAGCATAAGTTGAACCTACTTGAAGCAATTTTAGATGCTAAGGTTAGGTTGCTGTCAGGTCTAGGCAACCATATCCTAGACCAGGTGGAGAATAAGGCGCACATACTCGGCAACCTCGGCAGGACTGCTCTCGACACTGTCGGGGACGTTGTTGATGCTAAAGAAGATTTGGTTTACGAGATCGCAGATGTTTTAGGATCTTCAGTCCCCAGGTTGGGCTCTGCTTTGTATAATACTGGAGCAAGGAAGTTTGAAGCTAAAACCAGGTTGGTTGGAGGGGTTAAGGATGCTCTAGTAGACACTTTATACTCTAAACTTGGACTTTATCCCTCGAATGAAGCCATCTACCCTGGAATCACCTATCCTGAACCTATATACCCCGAACCCACTTACCCTGGACCCAATCCCAATCCCATTGATGATTGCACCCAAGAGGTTTGGGAAACCCTGCCCAACGGAGAAGTTGTCGTTGTTAGAAAAAATATCTGCGGAACTGAGACCCCTGTTGTTCAGTCCACTACAACAACACGACTACCAACTATATCAACAACTACAAGACGGCCAACTCCACAGACAACAACAGGACGGCCAACAACAACAACAGCAGATCCGTGCACACAGGAGGTTTGGGAGACATTACCTAACGGAGAAGTTGTTGTTGTTCGTAAGAACGTTTGTGGAACTGAGACAACAACTTCATATAAACCATCAACAACAACAAGACCATACATTATACCAACAACAACACAAAGAACCACAACAACTAGACGGCCAACAACAACCACTACAACAGATCCTTGCACTCAAGAAGTTTACGAGACACTACCTAGCGGAGAAATTGTTGTTGTACGTAAAAATATTTGTGGCACTGAGACAACAACACCTAAGACTACTTCAACAACACCATATGCTCGACCAACAACAACCAGAAGAACAACAACACAGACAACAACAGATCCCTGCACTCAAGAGGTTTGGGAGACACTGCCTAGCGGAGAAATTGTTGTTGTCCGTAAGAATATTTGTGGCACTGAGACAACAACACCTAAGACTACATCAACAACACCTTATGTTCGACCGACAACATTCAGAAGAACAACAACACAGACAACAACAGATCCCTGCACTCAAGAGGTTTGGGAGACACTACCAAGTGGCGAGGTTGTTGTTATTCGAAAGAATATTTGCAACACTGATGAAACTACAACAACAACAACAACATTCCCGTTCCTGGAAACAAGTGGTGTTGTAAACACAGATAGTTGTACACAAGAAATCTGGGAGAAGCTGCCAAATTCACAGTTTCTAGTTGTACGGAGGAACATCTGCCGGGCGGACTTCGACCGAAGGCGGAGAGATGTCTCCGATGATTACTGCACGGCGGAGGTTTATGAAAAATTAGATAACGGCGAATTCGTTGTTATCAGGAGAAACACCTGTCACTCTGCCTGCTTTAGGGATATCGAGGTAAACAGGTTTTTTGAAATATTAAACGAAATTTTTAAATTTTTTTCAATTTTTGAATTTTTATTTTTTTATTTTCAGGAAAATCAGGAGGAATGTGAGGATGAGGAGGAGTGTATTATTAAGAAAGATCTTCAATGTGAAAAAAATGCAACAAAAGAGGTAAAGTTCAAATTTATCTTATAAGTATAGAATGAAGAGGTAAAGTTAGAATTTACCAATAAGAGTAGAACTATAGGAGGTAAAAATGTATTAATGAAAGTAGAGGTAAAGTTTAAATTTATCAATGAGATTAGAACTTAGGAGGTAAAGTTCAAATTTATCAATGAGATTAGAACTTAGGAGGTAAAGTTTAAATTTATCAATGAGATTAGAACTTAGGAGGTAAAGTTCAAATTTATCAATGAGATTAGAACTTAGGAGGTAAACTTTAAATTTATCAATGAGATTAGAACTTAGGAGGTAAACTTTAAATTTATCAATGAGATTAGAACTTAGGAGGTAAAGTTCAAATTTATCAACAAGAGTAGAATTAAGGAGTTAAACTTAAAATTTATTAAGAAGGAGGTATTGTTCGAATTTATCAATGAGAGTAGAAGTAAAGTTTAAATTTAGCAATGAGAGTAGAATGAAGGAGTTAAACTTAAAATTTATCAATAAGGAGTTATTGTTCGAATTTATCAATGAGAGTAGAGGTAAAGTTTAAATTTAGCAATGAGAGTAGAATGAAGGAGTTAAACTTCAAATTTATCAATAAGGAGGTATTGTTCGAATTTATCAATGAGAGTATTACTAAAAAGGTTGTGTTCACTGTTTGAAAACTTTATTGAAAATACAATATTCTTGGCAGAACTAATGATCGGACCAAAGTAATTACAATTTACCAAATGTTGTTAGGTTTTTATAAAACTTGTTCTAGAACTATCTTAATACGTCACAGTAAAATGTAAACAACAATGTTCCGTCTCCTTAGTTCTATACCCCCTTGGAACCTTTTTTCTTGTTTGTGAACATGTTTACTAACATTGCCGAACACTAGGTGTGTATAACGAAGCAAGAGTGTATGCCGGGCAGATGTCAGCAGATCTTGAAGAATTCTTGTGTCCGAGGTGTTTGTAAAACTGATCTTGTCAATGTCTGCGCGGATGGTGAGTTATTTTTTAAATATTTTTCAGTAATTTTAATTTAACCCATTTGTGACAATCAAGTTACTTTTCACCTTTGAAATAATCTCCAAATAGATTAAACTTATGCAATATTAATATTAGTGTTACAGAGAATTTTATAGGCCCTCTAAAGAAAAAGATAAGAAAGCCCTAAAAAAATTCTTAAATTGCATAATCCCGACAAACCCCAGGAGCGTTTTACAGATTAAAAACAACTTTGGCGTAAATTGTTTACTTTTAAGAAAATCATTCTTTGAAACTATTTCGCTGCGAGTGCGACACTGCATATTCAAAATCGAGAGTGTGGGGGGCTATCAGTGGAGGGAGGGGGGGGGGGATATTCAAATGTATCAAAGAATTTACTTAAACATTTTTGAGAGCCGTTAGGTTTAAGTGGGGGAAATGAGATTTAAAGTAGGAAGGGGAATTTATCGACACCTTCTCTCCCATCACTCTTCATAGTTTTATTTGATGAATAATTAATATATTATCTAAATATCTACTGAATAATTTATATATTGTCTAGATATCTACTGAATAACTACTATATTATCTAGATATCTACTGAATAACAAATATATTGTCTAGATATCTACTGAATAACTACTATATTGTCTAGATATCTACTGAATATCTACTATATTATCTAGATATCTACTGAATAACTCATATATTATCTAGATATATACTGAATAACTACTATATTATCTAGATATCTACTGAATAACTACTATATTATCTAGATAACTGCTCCGATGTAGAGGAGTGTAGCGAGGTGCCTGATGACTCCAAGTGCGAAGTGAAGGAGGAGAAGGAGTGCAAGATGGTTCCTGTCTGCAGAACTGTCAAGAAAACCAACACAAAGTACGTCTGCAGAAAATAAATCAAAAATAATAATTTAAATAATTATTATAACATTCATGCAGATTGTATTGTAAATATTTAGATAAAACTCGGCATGTTTTGGTGAAAAATTTGGTTTAAAATTCTAACGTATGTAATTTCAAACATTTTCTGGGAATTTTGTATCTAACATTTTTTCAAAATTATAGACTTCAGCTTAATTATAATACCCCCCTCTCCTCAAGTTAAAAAATTACAAGTTTTACAGTTTAAATTTGATTTCCCTCATTGCAAAATTATTGCATGTTCAGTTCAATGTAATATTTCTATTGCAATAATGAAATTGTTAATTATAAATCATAAAATCGTATGGATTTTAATGATTGTGATAAAATATATCGATTGTAAAAAGTTTTAAAATGAAAATATATTTTCAAAGTTTGTTTGTATAAAAAAATAAATGGTTGGAAAAATGAAGTGGTAAAAATAATTCTGAAATTAATTTTAGCTTGAAATTTAGATGACTTAAAGGAGAGGAATATTAACAAATCAAAAACATTTAAATAATGTATATGTATTCATTTTATTAAAACATATATTTAGTCAATTGTTACATGTCGATATATTTTTTAAGTATCGACGATTTATTAATTTGTTACTTGCCGATTATTTCGATAAAAATCGCCGTTATACTTTCATCTGATGTCTATGTCTTGACGAAATGAAGCGGTGTTCAGTTGGACTAGCTAGTAGCTATATCCTGTATTTGTATTATCATAAATTTCTTTAGTGAACATTCCCTTTAAGGATGTATCTATATATGTATATATACATAAAGTTGAAATCTCTGCTTGTCTGTTTGTTTGTATGCCCGATCATAACTCAGGAATCCCTTGACCGATTTGCCTCAAATTTTATTGGAGAACTACGGAAATGTTCTTAGCTTAGTTGTGAGATTCTAAGTTGAGTAATTGTAATTTACGACGAAGCGCGGGTAAACGGCGGGAGCACCTATGAGTATGAGTCGCCTGGGTTCTAAAGCTAGTATTGTATATTCCATGTCAAGGGTTCAATATGTACTGTAAAGACACATAATCCTTTAGACCTTCTCCCCCTCTTCTTGTAAAAAGATCCCCCTGGTTAGAATCTGGTGTGTTGTTATGTCTACCCTAGAGCTATACTTATAGAATAAACAGTGTGCTGGGAATATAAAGAAACTGGAAACTTTGTTTATAAACAACAAAACAGTCAGAATATACAAATACATATGTAAAACTGCATAGATAGTTAGATAGGTAGATACAAGAAAGGTAGATAGGTAGATAGGTAGATAGATAGATAGATAGGTAGATAGGTAGATAGGTAGATAGGTAGATAGGTAGATAGGTAGATAGGTAGATAGGTAGATACAAGAAAGGTAGATAGGTAGATAGGTAAATACAAGATAGGTAGATAGGTAGATAGGTAGATAGGTATATAGGTAGATAGGTAGATAGGTAGATACAAGAAAGGTAGATAGGTTGATAGATAGATAGGTAGATAGGTAGATAGTAGATAGGTAGATAGATAGGTAGATAGGTAGATAGGTAGATAGGTAGATAGGTAGATAGGTAGATAGGTAGATAGGTAGATAGGTAGATAGATAGATAGGTAGATAGGTAGATAGGTAGATAGGTAGATAGGTTGATAGGTATATAGGTAGATAGGTAGATAAAAAGATGTTCCCAAGAGTAGTTTCCCAAGTGGCAACCTCCCAAATGTGTAATATACAAAGCGGCAACTTCCCAAGTCTATCCTAGCCGCAGCGCTCGGCCCCCTAACCTATTCTAGCCGCAACTTGTCACTTGGGAAGTCACCCTTGGGAATATACCTTTGGGATAATACCTAACACCGATAAGAGGATAGGTAGATAGGTAGATAGGGAGATTGGTAGCTAAGTTTCAACATTTAATACTAATATATGATTTCCATTTCTCGTCCTGATAATTACTGAAAATATGTGTCGTAATATTTTTATTATTATAATCTATAATTATTAATTAAATATTTCTAAAAATAGATTTTGGTAGATACTTAATTTGATCATATTTGTTGCTGAAGCAACTTGATATTGAATAGAGAAATAAACATTAAGAAAGCTAAATTTTTATCAGACTTATTGTATCTACACAGTTAATTTAATATCATGCATCAACTTTTGAGACCAGACATTTTCTGTAGCCATTTACATGAAGATTTGAAAACTAAAATGCACTTTAATTCGATATTTGTGTCCGAAAATGCATATTTTAGTTCACAGTGCAAGCAGGGGTTTGTAAGTATTTAGATAAGGATGGATGAGGATTGGAACCTGATCTAATTACTCCGGGTAGTACTCACAACACAGGAGAAGGTGGGAGTTTCCATACCTGGAAAACAATTCAGTTCTTATCAGATATCAGTTCTTATGTGATCATAGTTTTCAATTAAATATTAAGATTCTACACTCAACATTTTGTACGTAACATCGTAATTTATTTAAATCAATTCGAAAAGTTCAAAATTCTGAACCGAATGTTAAGAATGTCTCACAAATCTTTATATACCTAACGTTATATTCGTTGTTTCAAAGTGTCTTCTGTAAGTTCGACATCAAGATCAAAATGCTATGGTTTTTTCTAACAGTGTAAAATGTCCTTAAATGATAGATGAAATATTTGTTCAATCTAGCCGCAGCGCTCGGCCCCCTGGTCTATCCTAATCGTGGTGCTTTGCCTCAAATGTAGTCTGTGGCATTTCATGAGTCATAAGGCCTATCCAACCCTTAATAATTTAAATTATCTGTAATTTATAATAATTATGGCAAATTTTTCTATTATGGTAAATGTAACCATTATAGAAAGTGTATCTTCTGGCAAGTGTTACTTATGGCCAATGCGTTATGGGAAGTGTAATTATGGCAAATGTGATTATAGAAATCATAATATAAAAGATGAAGCTTTAATATCTAAATTGTATTTTTCCTATAACCTGAAAGTTTAGAAACATGTTTATATTCCGCTCTGGAAGGAATTATGGTTCCTATATTGTCAATGAGAAACCAGACATCAGTTTCAAGGAAACCAATATTTCCTTTCAATATTCTTTCCCAATATCTTTTCAATATATATTCTTTCATTCTCAATATATATCCTTTCATTCTCAATAGATATTCTTTCATTCTCAATATATATCCTTTCATTCTCAATATATATTCTTTCATTCTCAATATATATCCTCTCATTCTCAATATATACATATATTCTTTTATTCTCAAGGTATATACTTTCATTCTAAATAAATATACTTTAATTCTCGATAAATATCGTTTCATTCTGAATATATATCCTTTCATGTTCAATATATATTCTTTATTCTCAATATATATTCTTTCCATATCATTTCATTCTTAATATATATCCTTTCATTCTGAATAGAAACCTTTTCATTCTCAATATATATCCTTTCATTCTCAATATAAACCCTTTCATTCTCAATATATATCCTTTCATTTTCAATATATATCCTTTCATTCTCAATATATATCCTTTCATTCTCAATATAAACCCTTTCATTCTCAATATATATCCTTACATTCTGAATATATATCCTCTCATTCTCAATATGTCTCCTCTCATTCTCAATATGTATCCTTTCATTCTTAATATGTATCCTTTCCTTCTCAATAGGTATCCTTTCATTCTCAATATATATCCTTACATTCTCAATATATATCCTTTCCTTCTCAATAACTATCCTTTCAATCTCAATAAGTATCCTTCCATTCTTAATATATATCCGTTCGCTTTCAATATCCTTGATTCTATGTACTTTGATTCTAATGTTTATTCTTTCATTCTCAATATGTATCCTTTCATTCTCAATATGTATCCTTTCATTCTCAGTATATATCCTTTCATTCTCAATATGTATCCTTTCATTCTCAATAAAAACCCTTTCATTCTCTATATATATCCTCTCATTCTCAATATGTATCCTTTCATTCTCAATATATATCCTTTCATTCTCAATATATATCCTTCCATTCTCAATATGTATCCTTTAATTCACAATATGTATCCTTTCATTCTCAGTATATATATCCTTTCATTCTCAATATAAACCCTTTCATTCTCAATATATATCCTTTCATTCTCAATATGTATCCTTTCATTCTCAATATATATCCTTTCATGCTCAGTATATATCCTTTCATTCTCAATATAAACCCTTTCATTCTCAATATATATCCTTCCATTCTCAATATGTATCCTTTCATTCTCAATATATATCCTTTCATTCTCAGTATATATCCTTTCATTCTCAATATAAACCCTTTTATTCTCTATATATATCCTTTCATTCTCAATATAAACCCTTTCATTCTCAATATATATCCTTTCATTCTGAATATAAACCCTTTCATTCTCTATATATATCCTCTCATTCTCAATATGTATCCTTTCATTCTCAATATTTATCCTTCCATTCTCAATATGTATCCTTTCATTCTCAATATATATCCTTACATTCTCAATATATATCCTTTCCTTCTCAATAACTATCCTTACAATCTCAATAAGTATCCTTCCATTCTTAATATATATCCGTTCGCTTTCAATACATATCCTTGATTCTATGTACTTTGATTCTAATGTTTATTCTTTCATTCTGAATATATATCCTTTCATTCTGAATATATATCCTCTCATTCTCAATATATACATATATTCTTTTATTCTCAAGGTATATTTATTTTATTCTAAATAAATATACTTTAATTCTCAATATCGTTTCATTCTGAATATATATCCCTTCATTCTCAATACATATTCTTTCATTCTCAGTATATATCCTTTCATTGTTAATATTTATCCTTTCATTCTCAATATTTTTCCTTTCATTCTCAATATATATCCTTTCATTTTCAATATATATCCTTTCATTCTCAATATATATCCTTTCATTCTCAATATGTATCCTTTCATTCTCAATATATATCATTTCATTCTGAATATGTATCCTTTCATTCTCAATATATATCCTTTCATTCTCAATATGTATCCTTTCATTCGTAATATATATCCTTTCGCTCTCAATACATATCCTTGATTCTATGTTTTTTGATTCTCATGTATATCCTTTCATTCTCAATAATGTATCCTTCCAATCTCAATATTTATCCTTTCATTCTCAAATATATATATACTTATACCAGAGGGGATGATAGTTCTCTACCTGCGTGCTCAGTCAGCTGTACTGTACACTTACAACTGTTTACTAATTTGATATACTATTGGTTAGAATCAACTTATATAAACAAATATGCAGTGCGCACTCGGTATAGTTTATGGCCTATAAAATTAGTAAAGGATTAGCGTATATCGTCACCAATACACTATAACCTCGTTGACACATACTTCCATTTTTTTTATGGTTATTCATAATTCAGTTTTTTCTTTATTATTCCTTTTTAATCTTTATTAATTATTTTTAATCCTATATTATTTTGACTATTATTTTGACTGTACTCTTTTTGCATCTTGATTCTTGTTTTTTTAAAATTTAATTTCTTCATCATCTAAAAGGAGATGAATATTGATAATCAGGAGAGGTTTGAGAACTCCTTTTCTCCTGGAAGTAAAGGGGCCTCCCACCTCCTTCTCCTGGAGGAAGGACCACATCTCCTTCAGAAGGAAACCGTTCAATACTTCTCCAATGAATATCTTAGGTTCAAGTATCAACGATGTTTTATGGAGGTGCTGTTGATTTCTCCTTATGTAAAAGAACAGCCAGCCTTGACTACCTATCTATCCTACCCTGGAATAGTATAATCACGGAAAGTTGTCCTTTTAAGGAGGAGGAGGGGGGGGGGTACAAGAACTAGGGGAGGACAGATCCCAAGTTTGAATTACAAAATTGTCATCAATGCATTTAAAAATTTTTGTTTTGTTAAAATTTTGCTTTCTTGCAGAAAGGTTATATTTCAGATTTGATTACAATATTACCCATGAAGAATGACAGATCTAAAATTTTTTTAGTCTTTTTTTTGACATCCCATAGTTCTTTGCAAACGTAAAATTGTTTTTTTTTTGTGTCAAATCATTCAGACAAAAGATAAATGCAAGATTTTTAGGTCGTCATTAAAGTGATATATTTTTTTGGTAACCCTGTATATTAACTATTGTTCTGGGAAAATATTGGTTAAAACCTAAAAGAAAAGAAATGTTACCAAATTATAATTAATATTGAAAAAGAAAATGCGAACAGAGGTTTAAACTTACGTCTTGTTAATCCCGGGATTAAGCACGTATTTTGTACTACAGTCGTATGTATCAAATCAATTAAGAATCTAAAAGTTGTCACAGTTGATATCGAGATTAAGTTTTGTAGATTAGCGATAGTAGACAGAAAAGTTTTGACCTCAGTCAATACAGAAACATCTTTATTTCTTGAATATTTGCAGTTTTATCGAGAACAATGAGAAGAAGATAAACGAGTTAAATGTTGAATCCCAAGGAAGAATTTTCACAATCTTCAAACTTTAAACTTTGAAACCTTAAAAATATTATTATTAATCAACTAATTAAAAAAAATGAAGAGAATTTGAAACTTGAATTTGGAATTTAATTAAAAAATGTTAAGACTTTAGAAACGCCTGGAATTTTTTTTTCGTGCATATTTTGCAGTATTTTTATGTATAAACAAATATTTGTCTAAATTTAATAAATCCAGAACCAAACCCTGATGAAGTAACGACCCCTAACTCTCAAATCATTCCCTGGAAGCTCATTGAATCACGGAGAGATCCGTCAGTGGAAGATCATACAGGAGAAGATCTTTCAAGAGCTGATCCAGCAAAAGATAATGATCTTCCAGCAAAAGATCATAATGAAACAGATCCTGAAGACCCCGATCAACCTTTGGAAGAAGATCCTACTTACGCTGATGACCCTACAGCAGAAGATCCTGCAAATGCTGAAGATCCAGTCGTAGAAGATCCTGAAAATGCTGAAGATCCTTCCGACCAAACTGCAGTTGAAAAAAACCTTGAAAATGATCTAAGATCTGCAGAGATTGGGGCAGCTGCTATTGTCATCACAGAGGCAGGTAAACGTATAAAGGCGGAGGCAAAATATCCGCCTGAAAATACTGCAGCGAATATTGCGATGTTTATGACAATGAAAATTTATCAAGAGCTACCTTCTGATATAGATATTTCTTTTATTAAAAATTAATAGATCATTTCATGCACTAATAAAATAAGATTTTAAAAAACTTAAAACTTTTTTTCTTTATTTTTAAAAGACTGTAGACGAAATTTCAAGTGACCCTCAGTTAATAGAGTGGGTTGTCCTTTGAACAACGGTTTTAATCTTGACAAATAATAACGTTTATATTCTTATTTTTTGATCGAAAAGTTAAAAAATTCCTATTATGGTCACTCTATGAAAATGACTTGTTGATTTTTGCAGAAAAGTCAAAGGAGAAAAAAGTCCATCATTTAACACTTTTAAGGATAGAATCCGACGATTTCTTCCTCGTTCACGCACACCTGACCCTTTAGTAAAAGTAAATTCAACCTGAAGTCTGACCGCGTCAACCTTGTTGCACCTGCTAGTCCTATTGAGTATCTGCTTTATTTACCCAATGTCCGGTCGATACAGTACAAACTGGGACCGGAAAGGTTGATCCGGCTGGGAAATTCAAATGTACAACGGCTGCCCGTGCGTTGTTACTTTGATTAAGGTTTAAAGACCTTTGTTGTGAATCGGACATGACACTCTTTTTTTTAAAATAGGTTTACTTGAAATAAAGTGTGCAGTCCCTTTAGGTTGCTAAAAGTGTATCATCAACTTGACACATTTTATAACTCTAAACTTCAATTTTTTTAAAATCCATCAAATAAAAAGAAACGATTTACTGATTGCAATAAGCACGGGTCAAACAGAAAACAGGATTGGTTTAGAAATAATAATGTTTCCAAATATAATTGTAGACGAGGAGAACATTGATCCGGAGAAGAACCACAATCTTAACTTTGCCACTGTTCACAGAAAACTCAGGAATGCTCCCCGAGTTCAAACTTCTCAGAATGCGGCTCAGAAGAAAATGAAAAATGTTAAGGATATACACCGAGAGCAGACATCCTCAAAATCCACCTATAAACCTAACCCGGAGAAGCAGTACCCGGAAAGAAAGAACGGAAAAGATCTATATCAGGCTGGAGAAGGAGAAGAGGAATTAAGGTTTTTAGCTTAATTTCTCTTTTTAAAAGGATTGTTTACTGTAATTTCATGTGACAATGAGGAAGATCTCGTCGGTCTTATTTCTTGAAATGAGATTAATCCGGTCGATCTCTTCTACTTCGATACACGAGTCATTCCTTTTAAAACACTTCAACCAAAAAATGCTAATTTTAAGATAGAAAAACAAGAAATCTCCGTCAATATTTCTCAAACAAAGGTCTAACAGCGATCGATGTGAATCGGAAATTACGTCAACCTTAAATAAAAAAATTAGAAACAGATTTAGCACCTTAATTCTAAACTTTACGCATACAAAGTATATTTTTTAAAAATGTGGTTTCAGAGCAGCATCACTGACGCAGACTGAAGATAACCCTGTTCACTTTATTCATTCAACTCCGAGAGAGCAGGTTTATACGTTTAAAGGGATTATAGACGTTATTTCAAGTGACCCTCATGACCTTCATTGAAGAGTGACATAACTGATTCAAAACTGATTTTCAACCTTTATCTGAACAATAATGTGAAAGATATCGTCGTTTTTCTAGGTTTTTCGAGCTTTTTCTAGGTTTTTCTAGGGTTTTCTAGGTTTTTCTAGGGTTTTCTAGGTTTTTCTAGGGTTTTCTAGGTTTTTCTATGTTTTTCTAGTGTTTTCTAGGTTATTCTAGGTTTGTCTAGGGTTTTCTAGCCTCAAATTTGTTTATTCTGATAATTCCCTTTATATCTTCTGTAGATTGCTCTGCAGTATAGAAATGCACATGCCACGTTTATGGAGAAATAGATATCTAATTCATTCTGGATCAAACAAAGCTTTTAAGGGCACTGTTGTGAATCGGAACATGCCGTCCCATTAATGAGAGCAAGTTCAAATTACGTGTACAGTCCCTTTAATGAAGAGTTAGTTCAAATTACGTGTACAGTCACTTTAATGGAGAGTTAGTTCAAATTACGTGTACAGTCCCTTTAATGAGAGTTAGTTCAAATTACGTGTACAGTCCCTTTAATGGAGAGTTAGTTCAAATTACGTATACAGTCCCTTTAATGGAGAGTTAGTTCAAATTACGTGTACAGTCCCTTTAATGGAGAGTTAGTTCAAATTATGTGTACAGTCCCTTTAATGGAGAGTTAGTTCAAATTACGTGTACAGTCTTTTTAATGGAGAGTTAGTTCAAATTACGTGTACAGTCCCTTTAATGGAGAGTTAGTTCAAATAACATGTACAGTCCCTTTAATCAAGTTCCTGTTTTCTTGTCCCAAACATTCTCAATGAAATGATTACACGCCTGAAAGTTTTCTACTTTATATCTTTGCAACTTGATGTCGTAAACCTTTCATATTTCAAACAAGAAGTTCTGGTAGATCAAAAAGTGAAAGTTTAAAATACTAAAAGTTAACACCATCGTGTCCTAAAAATATTAGGATTAAAAATTTAAAATTTAAGGGTTTTTTCAGTTCCTTTAACCGAACATTATTTACATGCTAAAATTTGATGTAATTTATCAGGTTTGGTATCAACTTAGTACAGTTAAATACACAATACTAATTCTTCTTTTCATTAAAGTGGCTGGATTTAGAGAGATTTTACAGTTTTAACGGTTTTAAGAACATTAGAATGATTGAAACTTGAAAGTGAACAAGAAAATGAGCAGAATGTTAATTTAACGATGCCAGACAATATTTTGATGGATTACTTCCTCTAAACAGACAACTTCTATTCTTGGTTACAAAGGGTGCACTGAACAATACAGGGTGACCTACATCGCACAATAGATTGTTCTAAATTAAAAAGTAAAGTGATTCTGCATTTTTGTTTGCAAATTTACGCAACAAGACAAATTGCAACTTGATATGATTCACCCTGTACATGAATCTAGTAGCAGTATACTAATTATATAGATATGATGAATAGAAACATTGTTCATTGTTTAGTAGATATTGGGGTATACAAATACAATATATTCACATTGTACAATATATTAGTCTTTATCAGAAACAGATATAGAAAGAAAACGATGTTTGTATATTATATTATATTATATTATATTATATTATATTATTTATTATTATTCTTTATATAATCATGCATGTCTGTACAGCTCTAATGTTTCATCTATGTGGAGATTTTATCCTTTATAGTCTGTGATAGACTGAAATAGTCTTTAGTAGTCAGTTGTAATCTGTACTAGTCAGTAATAGTCTATATTAGATTGTAGTAGTCTGTAGTATTCGGTATTAGTCTGTAATAGTAATTATGTACTAGACTGCAGTAACCTGTCGTAGTCTGTAGTAGTTTTATTTTAGTAGTCTGCAGAAGTCCATAGTAGTTTGCATAGTAGTCTGAAGTAGTCTGCAGAAGTCCATAGTAGTCTAAAGTAGTCTGCAGAAGTCCATAGTAGTTTATCGTAGTATAAAGATCTATAGGATACTAGTCTTTATTTATAGTCTTTCAAACTTCTAACTGTCTTTTTAAACACGAAAAAAAATCAATAAGCTAGGAAAATTATTTATTTATTTTTAATTTTTTTTTATTTATAAATTAGTGATTTAATTATTTTAGGAGTTGGAAGATGATAATAGAACCCTGCATACTCCTAATATTGCTGTTAGGAAAGAGAAACTAAAATATAAGATGAACTTGTAAATTCAAAATTTTTTGTTTCATTAATCAAACTATGAGAACTATTAATTTTATAAAAACTATAAACTATAAGAATGAAAAGTTTCTAAACTCTATCAATTTTTGGACATCCACTAGGATCGAAAATTCAATTTGAAGTTATCTTTAAAAATTTGAAAGTTTTTGTGGGAGGGACAATGTATCTCATTTAGGATCAATTGCCATACTGATAATACAACTAATACTAGAGTTTTAATATTTTTATAAATCTATTGATTTAGTATTTATTATAGATATAATAATGATCAATGATCACAGCACTAAAAAAATGACATTCACTGATGCAAAAAATATATTTTGATTTGTTAAAAAAAATGCTCTAAGTGCATAAACAGTTTAATATGAACCAATCAGTGCTCGCTGATTTATCAGTTCGGTCCTTGACCCAACAAACTTTGACTTTTGATCACAATTCGACCTATTACACATATATTTTTCGCTTTTTCTCTCTTGTATATTTTTGTCGGAAAATACGTTTTAAATGAAACAGTTCACTTAGACATCTCTGTAAGTTTAAAGATGGTTGAATTATATAGACGAATCGTGAATGAATTTAAATGGAAAAAACTGAACAATATATCCAGGAAATGGTTAGACTGGAAGAAAGTGTTAGCCATTTCTCACAGAGTGTTCGATAAATCGATCCAAGGAATAAAACAAAAAATAAGTTTTAATTTCTAGTTTGCCGGTGGACAGCTGTATGTTTAGTGAGATCCTAGAGGAGCTAGATATACCAGAGAACCCAGAGTCTAGTAATAAACCATCGGAGAAGAGAACTGTAACTTTTGATCCTATCGTTCAGGAATACTCAGCAAATCATAAAATTATAGAAATAGAAGAATTAATGGGACTGTAAGTGTAATTTCAAGTGACCCTTCATGCAAACATGACAAAGCCCGATTCACAACGATACCCTTAAAAGCTCTGTCTGATTAACTATGAATTAGATATCAAAGTTATAATATTGAAGACTGATTATTTCTAATTGTGGGTTAAAAGTGACTTGTGCATTTCTACTGCAGGAAAACATGTAGGAATTGGCATAATTAAATACTTTTAAACCTGGAGAAAACCAATAATGTCTTTCACATTATTGATTAAATAAAGTTTATAAAAGTACCGTTGTGAATTGGACATTGCCATCTTTGCAAAGAGGTTATCTTGAAATTATAGTCCCGGTAAGAGACGAAACTATTAATAATCCTGGCTGCAGCTCAAAAAGTTTTAAATTATTAAAAGCCCTAAAATTTAATTAAAATGGAATTTGTAGTGTAAAAGCTTTAAAAATTCTATTAAAATGCATATTTTTAAAAAGTTTTTCTTAAAATTAATCTAAAAAGAGAAAATAAAGAAATTTATTATGTTAGAGTATGTCGGCTAACGAATCGACGGAGAAAAAGAAGAAAGGAAAAAGGTCGAACAGAAAGGAAGATGCCAGGTAGTGAAAAGTTACCGTAAAGAGACTATATATGGAATTTCAAGTGTAATAAGATAATGATATAGGCTAGACAGAGAAGAAAATTGACAGAATTTTATCATTTTCAAGGTATAAAAACGACTATACATTTCAGGAGACATTAGTTCCAAAACTAACACTTGGCCCATTTCTAACATTGAGTGTTAGAAATGGGCACAAATTAAAGACTGGGGTTTTAGGATCACAACCCATATCCAGAGTAAAAGTCGATAGTAAAAACTATAACCAACATTTTATTAAACATCACAAGGACAACAATTCCCAATTTAAAACTATTTTCTTAAATCAAAATTATAAAAGGAGTTCTTTTTATATTAAACCCCTTGACCGTTTTTAAGACAATGTCAGGTTTTCCATTTTCGAACATATCCTGAATTTTAATCATTGTCGCGTTTTCGAGACAAACCCCACTTTCCCGTTTTTAAGTATAATCCGAAATTCAAAACAAAACAGATTTTCATAACTTAAAAATTAAATCAATGCAAGTAAAAACTATCTTATGATACCTAAATTATCTGCTGAATTATATTTAGTTTTCACATTTTATTTGTTAAATAAAAGAATAAAGTTGATTTAGTTTACTGCATTTTAAACTATCAATTTCCCGCATTATACTAGTTAAATTTACATTGCAAGAACAAAATAAAATTAATATTTTGATTTCTCAATGCCATAATGTTGTTTTGATTACAAAAGAACAATTTGTTTTTATTTTCTATGTTGTTTATATTTATCCTTATCACAAAATCTTGTTTTGTGACGTAAGTGCGTAATTACTTGAAAATTGACAAAGATATGAATTCGAGTAAGTGTCTCAAAACGCGACATAAGCTGAAATGCGGTTTTAAAATAGGGATATGTTCGAAAATGAAATCAAGAAACATCAAAAACTAATTCTCATTCCTTATTATTAGTTTAAAGTTGACATTTTTTGTTTCAATATAAAGTTTTAGCCATTTTTATATTAAAATATGATGTAATTATGTTCAACCTGCTTGGATTTAAAAAAAAGATAACTTTGCAGATTTGACCCATTTCTAACACTCAGTGTTAGAAATGGGCCCAGGTATACCGACGTGAATTTAGTAACACCTAATAAAGAATGTGTACATAAAATTACGTCGACTACACCTTTTATGGAGAAAAATAAATAATGCATTGTGTAATGTGCTTAATGCAATAATAATATTATCTTTGCTTTGTAAAAAAAGTGTTAATTTTATTAAAATATGTGTAAGCGTCATTTCAAGCGTAATTTCAAGCGTCTCTCAAAACAAAGATGGAAATGTCCGATTCACACACAGGTATCCTTGAAACCTTTATCTGATCAATAATGTGGAGGTTATTTCAGTTTTCCAGGGTTTAAGTGTTTAATCATGATAATTCCTATATTTTGCAGTATTATTAATTCTTGTTATAAATAAAGTAAGTTGCGCATTTCTGCGTCGAAAAAGATATGGAGGAAATTCTCAAACACTTTTAAACTAGAAAAACGACAATATCTTTCACATTATTTATCAGATAAATGTTTAAAGGGTAACAATGTTGAATAATTAGAAGCTCACTTATTTGGGATTTTTTATAGGAACCACAAATCTGAGGTTTTAGATGTCAGGACGAATATCGGAGACAAGATGACGAATATCGTAGACGTGAGGACGAATATCGGAGAAGAGAGGACGGAACAAGGACAGGACGAGACAAGAGCTGAGAATGAACTGCAGCAGGGACAAATAAATAAAACCCTTGTGATTCATCAGACCAGGAAAGTTTATATTTCTTTCCCAACTTTTAAATTAAATAATTGTGAAAAGTGTTCCAATGTTGCAGGAGTCACGTGATCAGCTTGGAGAACTCTAGATACCCTGCTCTAGGTTTAATGAAATATAAATAAAAAAAATAAGAATTTAGTCTTTGCCACACACTAAAATTTGACAATCTCAATATTTGTATTGAATTGTAAAGATTATAATATTAGAAAATCAGAATTTGTGGCAAAGACGTTATTCGTTTGAATTCAAATCTAATTGAAAGTAGATAACTTGAGAGACAGTTTTAAAATTTTTATTTGTTAACTTTTACTTAAAATTTTTTTTTACATTTCAGCACTGAATTTATTCGAATTAAATATTTTCGGGATTTTCCCTTTTTTAACTAGAAAAATTGTTTTGGGGACTAGAATAGAATTTTTAATATTTAAATACTTTACAAAAAATACCCCTACACATATCAGATAATATGATTTATTTTCCAAACAAGAATATTTTTGCAAAATAAGACACGTTTAAGTTAATAGCAGATGTTTTGCAATGCATATTGCAGTTGTAATGAATAATAAAAATATATTTCTTCTCATCTCTGCAGTTATTCATAAATATACAAGTGATGGGAAGCCAAGCCACCTAACTCCAGGTTTAAAATTAGAATTTTTCGAACTGTAGGCGTAGTATGATGTTTCCTTTCATTTGCCACAAATCATGATCTTAATTATCAAAAATGTCCTAATTCAAGATCTTATTATCAATTATTAATAATGAAATATTAAAAATAAATTTGTGTACTTTTAAACTGAATTTGCTGGAAAATCAAGATTTTTGTTTTCATTTTAACAAAAAGTTAAAGAAAACGCTTTTAGAAAACTTCAAAAAACATTAAGTCATCAAAAGCTTTTATGTTCTTTAGATGTTGGAGAAATAGTGTTCCTTCATGGCAGGTGAGCTTTTTAAATAAGATTAAAGGGACTGTAAGCGTAATGTCACAGAGACAAAAACAATCATTCATAATTTCCTTTTAGGCTCCATTTAACAACAACAATAACTAGTGGTTTGAACATACAAAGCAAAACAACTTATTCTCGAAATTTTCATATTTAGCAATTAGAGACTTTTTTACACGATACTTGAACTCATTTTTATTTTGCATAAATTTTCTACTGGATCAAGAACATTCCAAGTCTATGGAAACGAGAACAGCGGAAATCTCTCTAAAAAAGCAATATGAATTTACTTGGTAAAAGAAAATCATTATTGTTACGTAATAAGTATGATTGGATTTAATTTCTTAAAACATTTGAAACAAAAATTCCCACATTTTATGATTGTTTGTTTACATTTATTGTTTATTATTGTACTGCAGGGTTAACTTTGCCTGGTACTGTGCAGAGTACAGGGGAGCAACAGGTTATTTTTTCAAGCATTTTTAAAAATAAAAAAAATTAAGAATAAAAATAAATTCGCCGTGAAGGGACTGTAGGTAGATATAAGTTCAATTGACCCTTGAGATACTGCATGCCCAATCTACGTTCTGCAAGGATACCATTTAGGTCTGTATACACCTTTATATGACTAAGCAACAACTAGGCAGAAGTTGTCATTTTCTTTCATGTTTTTCCCTTCTCTCTGCCGCATAGATCCGCAAGTGACCTGTACAGAGAAACCACAATCGAAAATTATCAAATTTTAGACAGAAAAAAAAATATGTTAATTTTTGCTTGGACAAAGCCTCTTAAAAATACGTTTTATCGGTTCCGGTGTGAATCAGACATGCCACACAACTAAAAGAAGGGTATCTTAAATGATGTGTACAGTCCCTTTAATAATCATGCTAAAAGAAGTCATTAAAAAAAAAAACAATTTCTACAGAAAATGACAAAAGTGACGTTTTCTTTCATTTTTCTTCGGCCCAACAATCAGTCATCTGCTTTCTACAAAAGTTGAAAAAGTTATTAATCTATCTATCTATCTATATATATATATATTTATCCCTGCAACTCATGTCAAGATATATATATATATTTGATCCAGGATTTATCCCTGCAACTCATGTCAAGATCCTTCCAACAGATTCCCCGCCGCAAGATGTTGCTCAGGTAAAAGCTAATTGTTGTTAAAAAATTAATTCATGTCGCTTTGCGCCACTGTTTCTTGTTCTTAGACATTTTCCTCTTTGAACTTAAGTTAATTTTTTTCATCTTTATAAATCGCAGGGTTTTTTTGTCAAAAAGAGGAAGGGGGGATTTTTTTATATTTCTGCCCACCTCCCAAAAATAATCAGTTTCCCCAAGAGAAATAAAAAATTGGGGGGGGGGGGGGGGAATGTTGTTTTTCGAAAACACATTTTCTTGATTGTCCTTTCAAAAGTTTTACCAAACTTCAACAACTTTTTCCATTATAAGCATTCTTACTTATAATTAAATGTTTTTGATTTCAAATTTTTTCAGGCAATTTGTATTACCAAATTCCTGGGAAGACAGGTAAAAGTATTTTTGAAAATAATGATGTTGGATCAAAACAAAAGCAAGCAAAAAGCCCCATTATTTTGCGAACCCGAGGAAAATAAAAATGTTGAAGGTAAAACTTAAAAACTAAATACAAGATTATTTTTTTCATCTTTGTTCACCTATGATTCAGATAAAGTATCAATGTTTATGTAAATACGTACAATGAACATGTACACTGTACTTGTACATGTAAATGGTATGTAACTACAGAGCGTGCCATATTATATTGGATTATCTCCACGCGTTAACGCAAAAATACGCTCATAATACTCTAAAAACCTAGTATTTTCTTAATGCAAATTTTTATATAAGCCTTATACAATTTTTTGAAATGGTTTATTATTTTTAAATTTTTTAATTGATCCCGAAAATCGCAATTTTAAGCTATAACAGACAAAATATGGGACACCCTGTATATATGCTTGATACATTACAAGCACAGTTTATTATAAGGTTCTGTGTGAACGTGTATTCGCTGTACACCGTACAGTGTACATGTTAATGTATGTACACTATACACTGTACGTGCACTGTACAGGTGAATGAGTTGACCGCCGAAGTTGGAGATTTGATAAGTGTTCTACGTCGAGTTAACCCTGCCTGGTTCCTCGCCAAATCACAAGGAATCATTTCACAAAATTAAAATTAATTTTTTAATTTTTTTAATCTTAATTCACAAAATTTTTAAAGCAACTGTTGACGGAATTAAAAGCACGTCCGATTTACAACGGTACTCTTGGATTCTTAAACGTTTTTTTAACAAGAAAGAATGAGATATAACTGAAATTAATTATTTTTAACTTTGGTGTCTTTACAAATAGAACTCCCAGATTTCTTCTGCAGAAACAATGAAGGAAATTGTGAGAATTAAACAATTGCTAAGCTAGAAAAACGACGATATCTTCCACGTTATTGATCAGATAAAGGTTTTTAAAGGTAACCGTGGCCCCCCATTAAGCAAAGTTGGATAATATGTAAAAACTTGAATAGTGCATGAACAGTTGTTAAAAATATGTTAACAATAGATTAACTTGGATTATTTTGAATAAAAAGATTTGGAAACGTTCGGATGGGGAAAATAAATCTTTAGAATAAGTTACGGATCCGGAATTTTTCCGGTAATTTCATATTTCCGTTGGTAAATTTTGACTAGTACCCTTCAAAAACTTTTCATAGAATCTTTTTTTATTTTACATTTTTTTTGCAAATATCATAAAGCGTTTTCAAAGAAAAATTGATATTTTACTTTTTAATATCATCGTTTTGAAGCCTTTTGTCAAATTTGTGAGCATGTCGCTGGCATCAAATAAAATAAGAAAATTAATTTTGAGAATTTTAAAGGTTTAAGATTTAATGATTTACTTTTGGGAAATTGAAACTTTCTCTTTGAAATTGATTTCTAAGTTAATTAATCCAGGTTTAAGTTTGCAGCTTAATTCTTTAATTAAATTTAGTTCATTTCAGTTGGAATATATTATTCTATATTTCTCTCTTGTAGAGAGTTCATTTTAGTTGGTTCAACCATAATATTTCTCATTCAAGAAACTAGTTTCATCCTCCAGCCATTTTGCTTTTCAGTTTTTAACCAATTTTTTCGTGCTTAAAGAATAAAATATGTTTTGAAAAAGTGCGTAGTATACTTTAGGGAGTAAGCATTTTATGAATAAAGGGAAAAAAAAGATTTCTTCTTTCAATCTTGAAAAATTTAAGCAGAGACAATATTTCTTTTTAAAAACTTGCTTCATACATAAAGGGGCTAAAATTAATTGTTATTTTCGATACTGAGCTTAAAATAATACGGACTTTAAATGTGAGAATATATTGTAAATGTAATATAAAAATAAAATATAGAAGATGAAAATAAATATACTTCATCTTCCCACTATCAGCGTCAGGTTTTTTTATTGGAAATATTAATTCATATCTCAAACTAAATGACCGCTCTGCGTGTAAAAACAAAAAAATATTTCTATAAATTACATACGAGGTTTCGAGATTTTTATAATTACTAATTATATTGATTGCATTATATTATTATAAATGGAAACGGCGCAGAGCATTCTGAATTACAGCATTGTTAGCATGTTTGTTTATAATGCCTCCGCCCACCCTCCCCATCCACTAATAACAATATTCGAGGATTTATCCAGTGCACTGACACTGTCCTGATTTGCATTCTGTACAAATACTGTACAAATTGATCTAGCTGCCCAGAATTCGGCACGGTACTTTAAATAAACAACAGTTTACAGTGCCTGCCCCCCCCCCCTGCCTTTTGTAGATACTTAAAGAATGTTGAAGAAAAGACATGAATCTGATAAGCTCCTGCTACTCCAGCTTCTCCTGCCCACCACGAAATCAGTTTAAACCTGATTTAGATTTTGCTCCGTCCTTAATTATTGAGACTTGAAATGATTAGGCAAGGTTGGGTTCATCCCAGCACAGAACCTAGAGATTATCTCAGGGAGTACTTAGGTATACAGGGTGGATAAACCTAGAGATTATATCAGGGAGTACTTAGGTATACAGGGGGGATAAACCTAGAGATTAGCTCAGGGAGTACTTAGGTATACAGGGGGGATAAACCTAGACATTATCTCAGGGAGTACTTAGGTATACAGGGGGATAAACCGAGATAATATCTCAGGGAGTAGTTAGGTATTCAGAGTGGGATATAACTTAGAGATAATCTCAGGGAGACTCAGGTATACAGGGGGATAAACCTAGATATTATCTCAGGGAGTACTTAGGTATACAGAGTGGAATATAACCGAGAGATTATCTCAGGGAGTACTCAGGTATACAGGGGGGATAAACCTAGATCATATCCCAGGGAGTACTTAGGTATACAGGGGGGATATAACCTAGAGATTATCTCAGGGAGTACTCAGGTATAATGGGGGGATAAACCTAGATATTATATCAGGGAGTACTCAATTATACAGAGCGGGATAAACCTAGATATTATCTCAGGGAGTACTTAGGTATACAGGGGGAATAAACCTAGATATTATATCAGGGAGTACTCAGGTAAACAGAGGGGATAAACCTAGAGATTATTTCAGGGAGTTCTCTGGTATACAGGGGGGATAAACCTAGAGATTATATCAGGGAGTACTTAGGTATACAGGAGGGGATAAACCTAGATAATATCTCAGGGAGTACTCAGGTATACAGGGGGGATTAACCTAGATAATATCCCAGGGAGTGCTTAGGTATAACAGAGTGGGACATAACCTAAATAATATCTCAGGGAGTACTCCCTGAGATTATCTCATGGTTATATCCCACTCTGTATACCTCAGTTTAAAGGGAAGGTTCGCAGTAAATATAAACTAGCAAATGACGGTTTAAAAAATTACTCTTTTTAGAAAACCTAAAAAAGTCTCGTCATTTAAAATATTTTTCACAAAAGATTTCTCAGTTGATTTGCCATGCTTTCAAGCATTTGATGTAAAAATGCATATATAAACATAATTGGTAAGCATGACAATATTTACTCCCAACTATGAATGTTTAAAAATACAACGCATTTCTAATTTAGAAAAAAAGATTCAACTGAATACAGACAATCAACTAGAGCCTGGTAGCGTGAAAATATAGTTTTTTCAGAGAAATAATTGTAAAATATTATTATATAATAATATACATCTTTTTTATTTATTGTTTTGATAGAAATTATGATTCTAATAAATCAAAAAGATAAACTTTTGATTTGAAGTTTTTAATGTTTTGAATAAGTACAAATTACAAATTATTTCTATTGGAAATTAAAAAAAAAAAAAAAATGTTCCTTACTTTAGTTTAAACTGAATTATACATATTACATACAGACTCATTTGACAATGTACGTCGTATATTGTATTCACTAAATTTGATTAGAGAAATAATGATTCAATTTCTTAATTTTTAACAATTCCTACGTTTAGTTGTTTTGTTATACACAGCTAGTCCGCAGAACTTACCATAACAATTGGATTATCTTAAAACTTTAACGCCAAATTACGTAGAGAAACCAATGTTTTTTTTGCATGTAAATGTGTATACTTTCCATAATTTTTAACCTAATTAAATCTTTTAAAAATAGTATGTGCATGTCCCCAAAATGATGTGGGACACCCTATATAGTAGTTGTTGTCCTTAAAATGATTTGGGACAACCTGTATAGTATGTCTTGTCCCAAAATTATGTGGCATACCCTATATAGTATGTGTTGTCCCCAAAATGATGTGGGACACCCTGTATACAATATACATTTTACAGTATACAGTGAGATGTCTGATAGCTCGAGTTGGTTAATGAAAGAATGTCTCCCAGTTTGGTCATCTCACACCGTATTATAAAGGCGGACCACCAACTACTAATTTAACCGCCACTCATCCCACGTGGACTCCGGCAGCCATTTTGAATCCTCCTCCAATCAGAGGGTTTCATTTCGTTAAGCCGTTCTTTTATTGGACAATATTTCTGAGAAATGTTTAATCAGAACGATTCCACGTGGAACAGACAAGATGACAACACAAAGAGGTATTTGGCTTCAAAGCTTTGTATTTGTGTTGAAAATTATTAGATAAAATTATATTAGAGATTTGTGGATCTATTACTAAATTGTTAATAGCATTAAATCCCAGGATCCTTCATTTTCCACAGCACAGCAAAGCATGAATAGGATTAGAATTTTTGGAACATTTTCTAGACATGACAAAAACTGTATGTTTGCTTAGAGCTTGAACTTTATGCTTGAAATTTAAGTACATGATAATTATGCAGCGAGGCAAGAAAATATTTTCTAAACATTCCTAGTTTACATATATAGACATATACATACAAGTTTGGGTAAAGGTGTACTTTATGGCTACTAAGACACACTACTTGGGGACGCCGACTAGAGAGGGAGTGGGGGGGGNGCTGATTTGTAGAGGTGGGGGGGGATTCCTCCGGGTAGACTACACGGAGGTAGTCAAACGCGGGAAAACAACTAATATGGACATGAAGATGATTATGGAAATGGGGGACCAGGAAATAGTCCAGTGGTTGCAGAATGAAGGATTATTAAAACGAAATTTACAGTGCATAGCTTGTGGAAGTTTCCTGACACTTACAGCTATGAACGACAGGGACAAGATGGGTTGGAGGTGTCTTAATTATGGTTGTGACAAGAAGAACCATACTGTTAGTGTGAGAATCCAGTCTTTCTTCTCTGGTTCTAAACTTACTTTGAAGCAACAAGTACTGCTTGTACTGTTCTGGAGTGAAACCATTAGCAACCAAAAGGCCTCCATGCTCCTCAAAATAAGCCGGAAAGACCCAATAACAGGGGTACATACAAATCGGATCGAGGGCTACTGGTCAAAACACAAAAGACCTCTCAAGGCAATGTGCGGAGTTCCAAGAAAGTTTCTACAATCCTACATTGATGAATTCCTCTTCAAAGAAAGAATTCCATCTGGAGTTAACAAGTTCCAGGCAGTCTGTGATTTAATCAAAGATACACATGTATAATACAGGATTAATACATTTTTTTAACATTAACATTTTTGATTTATATTTAAAGTATATAGAGAGAAGGAGAGAGAAACAGTAGAATAGATAGACAGAGAGATAGCGAGTTAACAAATTGTTTTATATGCGTACCGTGTATGTGTATTCTGTAACCCCAATCAGCTGATCTCTCCCCTCTCCCCCCCTCCTATCCCCTCCTATAGTCAGCAGATCTAACCCTGCTCCAAATTAGGTAGCCATTAAGTACCCCTTTACCCAAGTTTGTACCCTTTTAACATCACGGAATAAATATTTTGTTGAAGTTTTAAATAAAAATGTTGAACTAAGCTTCTCTGTATTTTGCAAATATCCCACTTGAGCCAAATTCAAATAAGTTTCTCAAATGAACTTCAGCTAACTCGCCAAAGTTTAATTAAAATGGGGAAATTTAAAGTTTCCCTTCTTTGATGAGATGGAAGACGCCAAAATAGAAGGGAAAGAATGTAGCGGGGCATACTTTTCACAAGTATGTGCGCAACTTTTCAGAGTGGAACTTCAACATTAGTTTAAAATAGATAACAGTTCTAATTCAGCATTGCTTCGTAAAAACAATATTTTGAAATACAACTTTTGATGTTTTTATTAATATTCNTGGCCTTAAACTTTTTTGTACAAAATCAAAATTATCTTCTGACATTGTCTATCTGTCAAGGTAATAATATACATTCAGTTGCAGATAATTGGATTACAATTTACACAGCTACTGAAGCATTGAGCTTTAGTTCAGATGAGATGTTATTATGTCAAAATAAAACTGTGTAAAAAACATCCAAACTGGTTTCTTATCTTGACAATCTTATTTTATAAAGTTTTATTAATTTACAATTGAAAAAAGAGGCGAATCAAAAATAAATGGAAAAATCATTTCTTTGAAATACAATTTCTTGGAAAGGAGTCAGAATGACATTAGATCCGAAAAAAAGCGGCAATAAATAAAAAAGTATATCGAATCTGAGCCTATTTGTGACAAATGTTCTTTTTGACTCCAAACAAATTGCAAAATAATTCCGATTCCCCATTTTGTTGATAAAAAAAACAAGTATTTTTTTATTTGAACAAAACGTAAAAGCACATTGCTAATTCAGGGGGACATTAGTACCAAAACTAAAACTTGGCCCATTTCTAACACTGAGTGTTAGAAATGGGCACAAATTGAAAGTCTGGGGTTTTAGAATCCCGGCCTAAATCGAAAGTAAAAGTCGATAATTAAAACTAATTAAAACGCGTTTTTGAGTATAATCCTCAATTCAGAACAAAACTCACTTTCACAACACACAAAATAAATCACTGAAAGTAAAAATAATCTTATGAAGACTAAATTACCTGTTAAATTATTTTTAAAATCTTAATTTCTCAATTTTATTTGTTAAATAAAAGAATAAAGTTCATTTAATTTCCCGCATTCTAAAAAACAATTTCCCGGATTTCTTAAAGATTCTAAGTCATGAAAGAACAAAATAATATTAAAATTTAAATTTCTCGTTGCTGTAATGATTTTAAATGATAAAAGAACAGTATTTTTTGTTTGTTTTTTATTTTATTTATATTTTACCTTATCAAAAAATCTTGTTTTGTTACGTAAGTGCGTTAATGCTTGAAAATTGACATTGATATGAATTCGAGTAATTGTCTCAAACCCAGGATATGTACCGAAAACGCGACGTGAGCTGAAATGCAGTAATTGTTTTAAAATAGGGATATGTTCGAAAATGAAAACCAATATCATCAAAAACTAATTCTCATACCTTATTATTAGTTTAAACTTGACATTTATTGTTTCGATAATTAGTTTTAGCCATTTTTAATAAATATATGGTGTAGTTTTTTTTAAAGTTGGCTTGGATTTAAAGATATATACGCTTGAAAACGATAACTTTGCAGATTTGGCTTATTTCCAACACTCAGTTTTAGAAATGGGCCAAGTGTTAGTTTTGGAACTAATTTCCCCTGTAATTACACAGTTAAATGTTTCGGTCACAAATAAATAGCTTTCAATTTGAAAAGATTTCATAAAACTTTGGAAGACCTTCATAATTTGATCTAACATAACTATAAGAAATGGCTATCAGAACGTTAGAATCAAGAACAGAATGAAAGGAACACCTGAAAGGTTTTTATCAGGTTGTAACAAGCTTTATGATGAACTAAATCACAGTATATTTTATATTAAATAAGCCAACGACAGAATTAGTAAAAGGAATTGAGTCTTTGCCACAAACTCAAAAGTTCTAATCCTTCTATCTCTGCAACCTGTTGATTTTTCAAACTTTGATTATTTGGTCTAACATAATTTACAATTTGAAATATCTAAGGTCTACGACATTGGGTGGTAAAGATATAGATTTGGAAAATCTGAGTTTGTGGCAAAGACTCAATTCCTTTCCAAGCTTATTTATGAATGATTGGCGTGTATATTATAAGTTTTAATTAGTCGACTACATAGTACATTCAGGGTGTCCCACATAATATTAGATCGTTTCTAGCTCTAAATAGAGATTTAAAGGGGACTAATCAAAAAATTGAAAAAGAATGAATCATTTCAAAAAAATGTATAATGCTAATATAAAATATTTCTGGCAGAAAAAAACTAGGTTTTTCGAGTATTATGTAAGTATTTTGACGTTAAAACTTGGAGATAATTTAATATGATATGGGACGCTCTCTGTTTATATTAAAAACAAATTAGCGTCCAATCCCGTGAAGCTTTTTGATAACTGTTCTGCGTATTTAAGGACTGTTAATTTATCTTTATAAAACAAATTATATTAGATATTTAAAAAAAAAACTTAACCTTAACAGAGAACTTTTGATTATGTTTTAGTATATCACACATTTCACACATCTTGTATAGTCAGCTTCAGTAATCCTTTTGTTTACATAATGTTTAATCAGTGAATATTTTCAAGACGACAAAATACAAATTCTTTCATTTTCTTCTTTAATATGGTATATCATCATATTTATTTAGTATATGGTAATATCATCATGCTGAAACCATGTTGAAAAATATCTTTTACACTTTGAGAATACATCAATATGCCAAAAATAAACATTTTGTCCTGCATAATATAATCATATAACTATGTATGTATTAACTTAAAGGGACTGTA